AATCAACCATTGAGCAGTTGGCAGCAATGAAGGCGGATTTTGAAAAGTATGGGAGGCTGCTAAATCACTTGGAAGCTATTGTTTCTTCATCTCACTCTTCCAACAACACATCATCATCATCTGCATTTGCTCACTCAGGTATTCGTGCTTCTGCAAATCATGCTTCAGTTTCAGGTAGTCATAAAATCCATTGGATTATTGATTCCGGTGCATCAGACCATATGACCAGCCTGTCTAATTTCTTCTACTCATACCACCTCTCTAGTAAAGAGAAAATATCCCTTGTTGATGGGTCTCTTGCTCCCTTGTCCATGAATTGTAGCATAACCTTTTTTCCCACTCATTGTGTTTTTCAGGACCTGCAATCTCAGAGGATGATTGGGAGTGGCCATGAGGAGAATGGAATATACTTGTTGGACACACCGGATAGAGCTTTTGGACCACCTCATGGAGTTGCCTTAGAGTCAGTTTTGTCAGAGTCTGTTAACAAAGTCTTGTTATGTCACTTTCGGTTTGGTCATTTGTCATTTTCTGCTTTGAGTCATTTGTTTCCAAATATGTTTAAGGGAGTGTCTTTATCGAGTCTTCATTGTGAGTCGTGTGAACTGGCAAAGCATTGTAGACATTCTTATTCAGTAAGCAATAAAAGATCTCTTTCTCCTTTTCATATTGTTCACTCTGACGTGTGGGGGCCATATCATTTTCCAACTATGGGGGGTTACAGGTACTTTATCCTTTTTATTGATGATTACTCTCATTACACTTGGATTTATCTCATGAACTCCAGGGATGAAGTACCAGCTATTGTGCAAAAATTTCATGAACTCATCCTCACCCAGTTTAACACCCAAATCAAAATATTCCGTTCTGATAATGCTAAGGAGCATTTTGAGAAAACCCTCTCCGCCTACCTTGAAACTTTTGGGGTTATTAATCAAAGTTCTTGTTCCTACACTCCACAATAGAACGGAGTGGCGGAAAGGAAGAACCGACATGTGGTTGAAGTTGCCCATCCCTCTTGTTTGCATCCCATGTTCCTATAAAATTTTGCGGAGATGTTCTTCTTACTACTACCTTTTTTATCAACCATATGCCCTCCCGGGTTCTTAACTTCAAAACCCCCTTTAGCCTTCTCTTCCCGGATGAGGATATTTTTTCTCTTCCTCTTCGTGTTTTTGGGTGCACTTGCTATGTGCATGCTCACAGCCATCAAGGGCACAAATTTGAACCTAAGGCTCGTAAATGTGTTTTTCATGGATATGCCTCCACACAGAAGGGATATTGCTGTTTTGATCCAGTTAGTGGCATCCGCTTTGTATCTCGGGATGTCACATTTGCTGAGTTGACTCCCTTCTTTAGTATTTCTCCTGAGGGGGAGAAATCTGAAGAACCCTTTGCTATGTCTCCAGCTGTTCCTCTTCCCATTCCTCTTGAGTCCACTCATGAGGTGTCCACTTCTCCCACTGGACCTACCTCCAATATACCTATTCCTCCTCCTCCACCTCATTCTCCTATAATTCCTCTTCATCCTGTTCTCCAAAGGTGGTACCAAAGGCACAGATTCAAACATGGGCAAGTTGTTTCCACTCCTACAGAAGAACCTCTTGCTCCTCCCATCATTACTGAGGTAACAGGTCAGCCTTCCTCTGATCCATCTACATCTTTCCCAGACCTTGACCTTCCTATTGCTCTCCGCAAGGGCAAGTGGAAGTGTACAGCCCATTGTATCTCCAAACACCTGTCTTACAGCCTTCTCTCTCCTTCCTACTACTCTTTTCTTGCTTCTGTTTCTTCCTATGTGATACCCAGGTCCGTACCGGAAGCCTTATCTAAACCTGAATGGAGGGATGCTATGATGGCTGAACTGGATGCTTTGCATAAGAACCATACCTGGGATATTGTTGACTTGCCTGAAGGGAAGGAACCAGTGAGTTGTAAATGGGTGTTTACCATTAAATATCACTCTGACGGATCTATTGAGAGGTTTAAGGCTAGGCAGGTTGCTAAAGGCTACACTCGGATGTATGGTATTGACTATCTTGAGACATTTGCTCTTGTAGCTAAGATGACCTCAGTCCGGGTTTTATTATCTCTAGCCGCTATTTTTGATTGGCCTCTACACCAGTTTGATGTTAAAAATGCCTTCTTAAATGGAGACCTACATGAAGAGGTCTATATGTCTTTGCCTCCAGGGGTGTATGGGAAGGAAATGCAAAGTAAGGTGTGTAAACTGCAGAAATCTATTTATGGTCTCAAACAGTCTCCTCGGGCTTGGCTTGAGAGGTTCAGGGCTGGCTCTTGTCTCCTTTGGTTACACACAAACTCAATCTGATCATACCCTGTTCTTGAAGAGAAATGGCTCTCTGGTGACCTTTTTGATAGTTTATGTTGATGATATTGTGGTCACAAGTAATGACACTCAAGAGGTTAGTAAACTCAAAAGATTTCTTAACTCTGAATTTGATATCAAGGATTTGGGAGA